TCCAACCTGAAAATTTAGATACATATATTTTAATAGAAGCTAATTCTGAGAAGACACATGATTCTGTGGGAAGAGAACTGGATTAGTCTTCAGAAGATCTTTTTTCTAACAGGCTTCTGATACTTAGCTCTGTAAATCAGGAAAGTTACAGCATATTAGAGTGGCATGGAACTTAAGAAATTATCTCAAATCAGATATTTCCTTTTATTGATGAGTTGATACCTAAAGACATTGTGAGGAATAAAATGAAGAAGAATAAAATGGACGTTTCTTTATTGATAGGCCTGTTTTTGTTTCACTATATCAATATTTCAATTTATAATCTATGTCTAGCTATATATGTAATTATATGATCATATATATGTATATGTGTGTATGTGCACATTTAGAGTAATATCAATATCTCTCTATAATACTGTGCTGCAATCTTTTAAAATAATTGTAAGTTCCTTGAGAATGGGCATTACAGCATATGCTTAAAATTTTTTCCACCTCAAAACATCAGCCAGGAGCTGAATACCCAGTATACGCTGTATCAAATATTAAATAGAATTTACTTAATTGAATAATTGCACAACCGCGCCGTTGATCCGCGCCCGGCTTTGGTTGTCTCCCTGCACAGAGCTCAGACGGGTGAGTCCGCTCCGACTCCCCGCCAGGATTCAGAAGAGCTGAAGCTGTTCCCAGGAGCAGGCTTGGAGACTGTTACAAACATTCATCACCTCCGGTGTTCCGGTGAGTGCCTCCGCGGGGTGGCGGGGCGGCCGCAGGGTGCACTGGACAGGAGGAGGAACGGCCCACACAGCCCACGGGTACACGGGAGGAGCGAGGACCTCGGGAGGACTACCGGGTCCTGGAAGCGCGGGAGGTCTGGAGACCCGGCCCCTGGGCGCCTGTTGCCAGGCAACCTACGGACGCGGCCGGGGCGGCGGTGCCTGGCCCGGGGCTGCGCCCTTCCCGCCCGTCCTGTCTGCAGGGGTCTCGGAAGGGCTGTGAGTGAGGTCGCTCCAGTTTATACCTTTGGCAGTCCTCCCGGGGGGACCTGGTCTTCACCCAGTTTGTTGGGTTAGGCAGCTTGGCTGAACCTTGTGCCCCACCTTAGTCCCTTAATCCCAGATAGGCAGAGCTCTAAAATAACTCTGAACTGACTGAATTCCCTTATTGAACAAATACTTACTAAATTTTTATTTATACTTTCTAAATTTTTATCAAGTTTATGAAATTTGATCCGCTTTATTGTGATGATTTATTGTAGTGGTCTGGAACCAATGCCCCAGTATCTTCACGGTATGCCTGTATCTGCTGTATTAAGAGCATGAGATACCAAACAAACTTTGTGGTCTTGACAGTTTATTAGGGAGTCGCAAGTACGAGCTACTTGTAGTGAAAAGTGATGACCCTCATGCCTGTACAGGGCTAGGAGGACCTGGAAATTTTAGGGTTTATTTGTGTTGTTTTTATTATTTGAGAAAGAATTACAGTGATCTATAGTGATTTGAAGTGGCTATCGTAGGTTTTAAGATATAAATAATTGTGCGAAGTATAAATTAGGCTAATGTGTGGAGAAAATCACTTAGCTGATTACTCAGCATCCCTGTCTCAGCTGGGGGTTCTTGCCCATTAATTGCCCCAGGAATACTACAGCTTCTGTGCTGTGATTAAAAGCAAACCACCCCCTTACCCCACACCAAATCAATAAAAACTTTCAAAAAATTGCTTCTTTGCAAAATATATCTCTGAAAAGAAAGCCATCTGCTGGCACTGTAGAAGCACTTCCAAATTAAACGATTTGTTATGCTTTTCAGAATGTGTCTTCTGTTGGTTGGTAAAAAATGTACTTACTTGACTTTTATAGAATTCTAGACTTAGGATATAAAGCTTTTAGTGGTGGGGGAGCTTTGTAAATGGGGTGAAGGGAATCATATATGCAAATTAGTAAGGAACTGGGGTATCTCTAAAGAAGAGGATTTCATTGGGCATAAAATAAAATTACATTTTAATAATAATGACGACAGCTACAGTGTATTGAGTGTTAATCATGTCTCACATGATAACAGAGGGGTGACAGGGGTGCTAACATTCACTCATTTTACATGTTAGAAATATTGGCTCAGAAATTAAGTTCTTAGCTATTATGGGGAGGTGTCTAAAATGAGAATTTTAGTATTAGTCTATTTGATTCCTAGCTGGTACTATGTCATGCTCTCTTTCCTTAAAAAGTACACTATTAAAATAAATGCAAGTCTAATAATAGAAAAAGAAAGTATTGTGATAACTATACTTAACTCTGGTGAGTATTTCATGGTTAACACAGTTGTCGAGTCACTATATGTCACGTATACCTGAAACCAATATAATACTGTATATTCACCATACTTCAATAAAAAATAAGAAAAGGAAAGTATGAATTAATCATTTAAAACAGATGTACCCTTGCTAACAGAAGGTTGAAGAGTAAAATATACAAAATTTGGATGAGTGAGATACCCCTCTGATTTTTTATTTTTCTTTGCAAGTTGATTATTTTCAACATTTTCTTGCAAGCATTTTTACCTATCACCTCATAATTACTAACTCAACCATTCACTCCATTTTATACTTTGTATTAGATAAAGGATACTATTTGCTAAAAATATTTTCATCAGCCTACTGTGGCAAAATCAAAACTCACAAAAGTTTAGGAAAAGAGTAAAGAAAATAAATTACTATCACTTCATGGTAGAGAAGTGTTACATGCACTTGCTTCCTATTGCTGCTGTAAAAAATTACCACAAACTTAGTGGTTTAAATAACATAAATTCATTATTTTATGGCTCTAGAGGTTAGAAGTTCAAAATGATTCCTACAGGGCTAAAATCAGGATGTCAGTAGGGCTGGTTTCTTCTGAAGGCTCCAGGGATGAATCCGCCTCGTGCCTCTTCCAGCTTCTGGAGACTGCTCATGACCTTTTTCTCCATTTTCAAAGTCAGCTGTGTAGCATCTTCGCCCCTCTCTGACCTGTGCTTCCATCCTTACATCTTTCTCCCTCTTAACATCCTGCCTCCCTTGTATGAAGACGCTGGTGATTATACTGGACCCACCAGATAATCCAGGAAAATCTATCTCCAAATCTCAAGAACCTTAATTTAATTACATCTGAAAAGGCCTTTTTGTCATGTAAGGTAACATGATTAGGATACAGACACTTGTTGGAGCAGGGAGTGAGGGGTGGGAACATTATTCAGACTACTTTTTCCTCACAAAAAGTTGACTGTGCTGAAAAAAGTGATTAAACACATGATTTCTTTCTATATGGTAGTATTATGCAATTTGTACGGCATATTTAAAATTAGAGTGAAAATTATCATATTTATCTTATCTTTTTCAAAGTCTACAGCATGATAAATACATGAATTTGAATGGATTTAGAGGTTAAAGGAGTTGCTGCTTCTCCTGTGAGTCAAATTCAGCCATTCTCTGGAAGAAAGAAGCCGCTGCAGGTATGTATGCTATATAATTTTCCTCCTGTAGGACAACTCATTAAATAATTTGCTGACTCCTTTCTTCATGTTTTTATGACTGCTTGTACTCATAAATGTTAAGGATCAATATTTCTTAGAGTTGAAGAACTGAATGACCAAAGTTGAAGATAATCACTACTTGAAATTTGGTCACTGCTTGAATTTGTTTTATTTTTAAAAATTAACTTATTACTGTTTTCTTCTTACTACTTTAAAAATTACATATGTCCATAGAAGATATAAAAAGAGTAGAGAGAAGAAGAAAATATCAATATATATTTTGTGTCAGATAGCAGGAGAATCTGGGCTCCTATTATTAGGACTTGGTTCTTCTCAACCATTATAGTATCACTGTTGTACATGTCATTGATTAAGTTAAGTGTTAAGTTTAAAGCTACCATGTCCCTGTATTACTACAGAATTGGGTAAATATAAATTTTTGTTTAGAAATACATAAAAGTGATGTATATGCCCTTGCTATTCTTATTATTCCAAATATTGAATGCCTACTGTTGGTCAGTCACCATGATAAATGTTTCAATAATTTATATCACTTAATTCTTCCAGCTGACCTTCACAGTAAGTATAATATTAACCTGCTTTAGATAGGGAAAAACTGAGGCTTCTAGAGATTAAGTGACTTGCCAGGATTTTGAACTCCAGTTCTGACTTCAAGATCTGTACTCTTACTCTGCGTTCAGTGATCTCCCTTATGTGAATGAGTTAGTGATTTGAGGTTCTTATGGTTCACAATAAATCTGAATTATGTGATAATTTGGATCAGAGCAGCCTTCTGTCTAGTCAAAATGCCAAATACAGTATTATAGTTTTTCCCAGTGATTGTTTGGTTATATTATGGAGGCTTCAACTGTTGCCATGATTGTTAGGAAAAATTCAAGGTTTAAGTTTTTTAAAACAGGATTTCTGTAATTACCTCTTTCTGCCCAAATATCTTCCTTTAAAATTGTAATGCCTTAGGTGTTCTATCGGGAAGATCCAGCTAGTGGTGGAGTCCGGGAGCAAGTTTATGTGTATCTTAGAACTCTTCTTCCCTAATTAAAAGTCTTCCTAGATATCTAGGTTATTGTCTCTTAAAGTTTACCAGCAAAATATCAATATTGTAATTATCAGCTACCATTTCTGGAGTGTTCTAAAAGCTAGAATTAGAAGTGAGAAATGATACATAACTTTTTTAAAATAATGGTATTTAATAGTTCAATTATTACAAATACCAGCAACTGATGAATATGTTTAGGAGGTAAGACTATAAAAAGTTGTTCAACCCTGCTGGCAATCACTGGAATGAAAATTAACGTAATGATATATCTTTATGCCTCTATTAGAGGCAAAACATAATATTGAGAATACTCAGAACTAGAGTTGGTGCATAGTAAACTGGTACCATATATTTGGAAATGAGATTGCAATGTTTTTTGAGCTATAAAAATTTGTAAAGTATTTGATGCAAATAGTTCCATTACTAGAAATCTGTTCTAAGAAAATAATCCAAAATATGGAAAAAGCCAAATGAAAAACAGTATTTCTTTAAGTACTTTTTTTAAATAGTAAAAAAAAATTACTGAAAAATATGTAGCAATTGAGAAATATTAGATAAATTATGATACAACCTTTAGATGGAACATTAGGTAGACATAAAAGTAATTTTAAGAAGTAACATAGAAATAGCTTATAATGAAAAGTAAAAAAGATAATATACATATAATTAAAAATTTGCCTAAATCTATAGTGTATGACACCAAGAGTGAACTCTCATGTAATTTATGGATTTTAGGTGATAATGATGTAAGAAGTTAGGTTCATCCATTGTAAAATGTACCACTTTGGTGTGGGATGCTGATAATGGGAAGGCAATGCCTCTGTGGGGTCAGGGCCTCTTTTCACATTCTGAACATCCAACTGCAGTGTGGGAAGGGGATTTTCACCCATCTTCAACAAGAATGCTCTGACACCAGCTGGGTGTCCTTCTTCAATTCAGCTCAGTTCAACTGACTTCTGACACCGTTGACCCAGAGAAAGCATCAGGTTCTACAGGTTAAGGGTTCTGTCCTAAAAGACTGCAGCCACCGACCCCACACTTCATATGTCAGGTACAAGCCCAGGTTTTTTACCTGTGCTTCTAACTGACTGGCTACGCCTTAAAGGTTCCCACGACCCTCTCCAATCTGAAATGCCAATCTCAAGTCCAAGCTGATACCAGTACCTGTGATCCACTGGCTCTTACCCGTGGGCCGGTGCAACACACACTTCTCCTGGCTGGAACAGTTTTGTCCCTTCTCTCTTCATCTGGCCGACTTCTTACCTGTTCTTCAGAGTTCAACTTAAAGTGACTTTTTTGTTTTGAAAAACTTCCTCATTTCCCTTGACTCGGTTGGGTACACATGCTATGTGTAGCTGCTCTGTCATAGCACATGTTTTTTCACACTATTCCATGTTTGAGTGCATGTCTTCCCCAGAAGACAGAGTGCTATGCGGACAAAGATTATCTATGTTGTTTATCATCCCATTTCTGTGTTTCAAGCACAGTAGGGAGGGGCTAAACAAATATTTCTTACATGAAGTTTACTGAGAAAAATAACTGGCTTTATTGCATTGACTCATTGCTTATTTTTTAAAGTATAAAGGGTATATGCATAATAATTTTATTTTTTAATTAAAGCAAGGGTGGACCTCCAAATCATGGACAATCCAGAATCCTTGCCTACCTGTGTAAGTCACAATCCTTCACATTTGAGCTGATTAATGGGCAAATATTTATAATACATTGACAAGTAAAAAAAGAAAGCAAAATTACATATATAGCTATGGCTGTAAATCACAGAAAAATTTATATGCATGTGGATGGCCTGAAAATTACTATGCTAGAGGTAGTCAAAATGAATTTAATGGAAATTGTATCTGTGCTTTAATTTTATCTTGAGGAGTATGACAATTTTATCAATCTTATTAATATTGTGTTATTTTTAGAATAGAATACATTAATTTATGTTTTATATTTTATATTTCTGCCTTTTAAGATTTGGAAGGATATTATTTTTATTCTTTCAAATATTTTAGACTTGAAAGAAATTTAAAATTCAGTAATTTATTAGGCTGAACCTATAAAACTGACATTTTCATAGATTAAAAATGGGAAAGTGTCAGTAATTTCTTATAATTCTAACAGTCAATACCTGTATGGGCATCTAGACAGATTAGAATGAAGTGCAAGCATCAAATATAAGATATTGAGTGTGTAACAGCAGTCAATTTTATGCTGGTAGATGTTTAATAATTGGGTTTCTGAAAGTCTATGAGTTTATTAAAAATTCTACTTGTTAATTATAAATAAGTATATTTTAACTTGATTATGAACTTTAGTGATAGAACGGCTGCAATATTTAGCAAGCAATTTACTAATAGTAAAATACATATAAACTTTTTATTCCAAGTTCATTAGTGCCAATTGGCTCTTACAGAATGCATCCTGTGTTTTTGCCAAACTTATATCTTTAGCTAATTTATGGTTTCAAATGACAAACCAGTGCTGCTCCAATATGAATGCTCGTTAATACTTTCATTTTTGGTTGAGTGACATGAGTGATTTCTTTGCTGAATCAAGTACTAGTTTTTAATACTAAAACATATTTCTTCAGGTTTTTTTGTTATTTACAATGTAACAGCTACAGACATGATATACTTTTAAGTTTAATCTGCACTATTAATATTTTCTCCATCACTCTTATAAATCTCAAAAAATCAACAAAATAACAAAGTAGCATTTGCCAGTTTCTATGATAATAATTCCACCATGACTAATTTCAGGCTATGTAACATGACTGAACATAGAGTTGGAGAGAGATATTCACCATTGTATTACCACACAGATAACCATAGATAAAAATAACCTCTAGAACACAGATAACAGTGAAGTACAGTAAAATTATCAAGAAGTGATGACCTTAAGTACTTATTACCTTTGTTTTTAATATAACCTAATTATGTTTATGTAATTTTATTTTTTAATAATGCTGTGTTAACAACCAGTTCAAAAATTATTGAACATTTAACAAAAGACTGTCATCATGAGTAGATGGCAGTATACCATTGGCTTCAATGTATCTTTGTATATAAGATGTAACATATATGATTTGCGACTATAGTCTCTCTTTTATGGGATGTGTGAATTATTTTTTTCAGGGTCCCACGACTTGATTTGGGAAGCCTTATTGATTCTGATGATGAGGTAATTTTTACTTGGTATTTAATAAAATAAACATTTGAACACAATATGACATATAGCATATAATGAGTATTCCTTAATTTTATTTTTAGGATAAATTTTCAAATATTCCACTTAGTACAGCGCATATTCATTTTAACCCACCAAAGTCATCTTCTGCTCTTCATTGGATCACATTACATCAAAAACCATCTTCTCAGCATCATCTAAGTGAACTGGTTAGTATTTATTTCTTATTACCAACTTTTAGAATTATAGTGTCCATTTAGCACTATAATTAATCCAAAAATTTCATTATATTCAGTCTGTATCTTGTCTGGTTTTAAATATTTTATATTTTAACATCCCAAACAATAATATTGGTGAAGTAATTTTACTTTGCTTTACATTTTTTTTTTCCTCACGGAGGCATGGTATTTTTTAAATGTCTTATAAAATTGATAAAGTGCAGGTTTATCCTAGTAAAGAATTCAGGAATTTTAAAAATAAGGCAGAATATTAGATCATATCTTGCAAATTTAACAATGTAAGATTAATCTCTTAGAAACTGGCTCAAACTCTAGACTACTAGGATACTGTGGAGTAGTAAGTAACTAAACTTGTTCCAGGGTTCTCCTCAGGACATAGTTATACTTCAAACAACATTTAGTGCTGTATTTCACGTAATTAACACATGTTTTGACCAGTATTCTAAAGTATTTTTTTCTGTCTTTGTCTTTCTTCTGTAGCTGACTCTGTTCATAATATTCTCCTCAATATTCTTCTGGATAAATGCACCAATAGTATCATAGTATATGTATCATGCTATAGTTGCCACCCTAAAGCTTTGCCTCACCCTTCTCCTCTGGCTTAGTCTTGGATGTAACCAATACTTTTCAAGGGCTATACTGGTTTTATTCTCCTTTTGGAGTGACTATTACTTGTATTTGCTTGGTACTCTTTTTAGGTTTCTATTATGCACTGACTCTGTTATCTTTCACTCCCATGGAACTGTGGCAGGGAACCAAATAATACTAGAAAGTTGAATCATAATATTCTAGAAATGCCAACCACACTTCTCAGTACTAGTAATCTCTAATTCCTAAGACTATTCTGAAAGAAATGGTTGACAATGGAGTTTTTCTGGGGCAGGAATAAAAGGCCTAACTAAAACTCCTAAGAAGAAGAAAGTCATTTTTTGTCTCTTCAGAATATTTTATAACCAGAACTGATCTTCAGCTGGGAAACAAGGTACATTCAAGCTTACTGTTGTTTAAGGCTCTTGCGCTTTCTGAGCAATTCTGTCCGCTCATTGCTCATTGATGCTATACCTATTAAATGTGTTAAATATCATCTCTGTTTAGAACATAGATTGTTCGACTGTAATGGTCTGTTTCTTAGGTATAAACAGTAAGGCAAATGACAAGCCTAAGCCTGTGAATGTTAATAAGGAAAATTAATAATTATTTTTATTTTTTCTAGTGTATACCATACTTTTTTTTTACCTCTAGGAGGAGGATATAATACCTGAAAATTTGCCAGAAACAACAAACAAATATAAGCTAAAATATCAGCAATACAAAACTGAAATGAAAGAGGGATATAAAGAGTATAGCCAGAGAAATGCAGAAAAGACAAAATCAAATATCACACATCAACAGTCTCCAAGAAACAAGATAGATGACAAGGTAGTGTTTAAGGCTTTATAAAATTATAATAAAATAAAAAATAATACCTGTATTGCAGAAACTTTTTTGTCTTATGTATCTTGCTGTTAGTCACCATAAGTATAATAGCTTATATTTATTTCTGTGTTCCAGGGACTATTTTAAGAATTTTACTTTAACTAATTTATCCTTCATAATGACCCTAAAGGGGTATTATCACCATTTTCAGATGTGAAAACTCTAGCCACATGACCTAGTTATATTTTCTCTGTTAGAAGCTATTAATTTGCCTCGGTATTGGAAATAAGACAATATTATATAGCAGTTTTGACAAAACTTGAACTCTGTTGTTTTTACAGTCTAAATTTTAAAGTTGAAAGTGATTTCAGACTTTAATAGTGACCCTGTTTTATTCTAAAACTGTCACTACTCCATCATTATCTTCTGCCTTATTTTGGGAGATGTTTTTAAACATTATGAATTGCTAAAATTGTTATGCTTTCATTTAATATTAATTACATGTAAATTCACCATTCATGAACATAAAAGCAAAGTAAACATAATAAATTTAATGGCTTTCCATCAGCACACAGAAAAGGTCAATCTTGAATTTTGGAAAGAAATGTTTGTGAAGTGCCCATAAAGAAAAGAACAGTGGGTACAATTCTTAATTTAGTTAACTTTTTTATAAGCATAATGTATTTTCAGGAAAGTTTGATGATTGTATTTGCTTAGCATTTTCCTGTATGTAAAAAAAAATGATTAATTTGTAAGTAGGTGTGGCATATCAGCTATTTTTTCTAATCAATGTAGGAATTATCTATAACTAATTTAATCATGTGCTGCTTAGTTGAAAGGGTAACAGAAGTTAGGGGATTATTTGGTCTCATTTATCTTAAAACAAATATTTCAGATCTAAACAGATGCACACAAATATAATAATCTAGTATCTATAATAGTAGGCAGGATAATTTCATAACCCTTTAGCATCTGGCCATGTATTATTTGTAGGATCTGCCATCTGATATTTATATCACTGCAATAATGTTTGAAAAAAAGAATGAAGGCTTCAGTAACACATGCTTTATTTGCTGCATAAAAATAGTTCAAAATACCTTAAAGCAAAACTTTGATTTCCTTAAAGACAAGTTCAAATGATGACTTTTAATTTAAGAGAGGAACAAATTTTGTTTGCATCTTCCCATATGATTGGTAAATATTTACATAGAATAAAGAAATATTTTATATAAACCAATATATACATATATATATCTTCCTCAGGAAAAGATGCAGTTTTAATTTTTTTAATTTTTTTAACCCACATTTAAATGTATAAAATTATTAATATGTTCTTTGTAGTCACAAAAAAGCACTGGTTTTACATGTAATCTTATACTTAAGGGTTCAAGCAACTTATTGAATGTCTTTTTAGTGTATAACATTATGAGAATCAACACTGCTGTATAAATGGCCTGTTAGTAAGTCCTATTACAATTACATTAATTAATACTGGAGAAGCAATTTTTGGGAGTAAAGGAGATCCTAATATCAGAAATGTGAGCCCTTCTTTAAAGAAGGGAACAACATGTAAATTTATTCTCTTTATTTATAAAGAAAAGCTAAAGATAGATATATATAGGATCTAGGACAGTAAGTCAAACAGTAACTGGTAATAAATCAAACAGTAAAATAAAAGTTCCACTCTGCTTGATTCTAATAGCAAATTTCCCTTGCTGAGTTTTCCTTCATTTAATATGAAAAGGTGATGAATCTCCTACCAAACTGTTTTACTACCAAAGATGTAAAATTATATATACAAATATATATAATACATCTTTAATAAAGCATAAAGATCATTAAACTTCAATTTTACAGAAAATAATCTTAATACCCTAATTGTACTTATTAATTATTCCAGATATATTGTTTTTCACCAACTCTAAAAATAGGAAAAACACCTTTTTGTTTTAGAAATGTCCACCCTAATCATTTAGAAATAATCATTTGGAAATGATCATCAATTCATTGTTTATTCTTCCAGCAAATACTTGTTGAATATTTAACTATACGCAAGGTACTAGGGGTAGTCAGTGAGTAAAATAGGCAAAAATTTCTGTCCTTACAGAGCCCATATTATAATGGAAGGAGTTAGCAAGAAAAAAAAATTAGTGCATGAATCATCAATCAACCCATCTAGTATGACAGATGGTGATAAAGGCTGTGTCTGGAAGGGAGCTGGGAAGGCCAGGGGTTGAGGTTGGGTGCCGTTTGTACAGGATTACCAGGGAAGATCTTCCCCATGAGGTAGCATTTTAGCACACAAACGTCTCAAAGGGGTTGAGAAGCAAGTCAGTTAGGGTAAACTCAAAGGGTCATAAAGTAAGAATAGGCATGAAGTGTTTAAGAAATTCCAAGGACAATGTGGTTGAGGGAGGAAGAGCACAGGAGAGAGAGAGGAGATTGGTCAGAGTTCATGGGTGGGGAGGCAGGTCAGGAAGGCCTTGCAGACCACATAAGGACTTTGCCTTTTACTCCGAGTCAGAAAGCTACATTGTTCTGTTGAGAGGCTTTTATTGAGAACAGGATGAGGATGGAAGCAGGAGGAGTTTTGAGGAAGCTATGGCAGCAGTAGTCCAGACAAGTGATAAGGTGGTAACAGCAGATTTGGATAAGAGTGGTCCTGATGGACAGCCAGACTCTAGATCGTTTTGTGGGGCAGGACTGGGAATGTTTGCGGCTGGATTGGTTGTAGACTTGAGAGAGAGGGAAGATGACGAATGACTAAGGTTTTTGGCCTGAGCAATTGGAAGGGTGGAGAAGATCATCAGGAAGTCTGGTTTGAGGAGGTTAAATTTGAGATACCAAGCGGATATGTTACTCTTTCCCTTTTGTAAAAGATTATAAACAAGCCAAAACTAACAAAATTCTTTTGAAAGTTTCTTCCAACATAAACATAATACTTTGCTTATACTCAAACACATATGTTCATTTGGTCTGCTTAATTTACATAATATAATGCTAAATGTCTTTTGGTGCCTATTATAATAAACCATTATATAAGAAAAACAAATATATTATTGGGTAAATAAATTATAAACTATCTTCATAAATTAACTTTCCAATAATTAATACTAAAACAAAATTCATTATTCATTGAGTAAATATTTATCAAGTGCACTCTATGTGTCATCCTGGTCTGGCACCAGGGACATTGCAATAAAAATGACAAAGTTTTTGCCTGATGGAACTTGTAGCAGGAGAAGCAGGAACAAATCATAAATGTATAATAAAAAATTTTGTGTAGCAATCAAAGGTCATGAAGACAGAGTAGAGTTTGAAGATGGAGTGTAATCTTTCAAGGAAGATCTAAAGTAAGAACAAACTCTGCAGGAAAAACCCTTGAACTCTTACCATTTTGACAGTTGCTATCCCACTGGGACAGTTGTGTTGTTGTTAAGGTAATATAACTCATTTTATATTCAGAGAAAAATCTAGTGTTTCTCTCTTTAGGATCCCAAAAGATCCTTTACCTTGAAAGGTACACCTGTATTCCTGTATTTTAGTACTCTACTTCCAAATTTAATTTTAAAAGGAGTGGACATGCTCACATTTATTAACTTTACAAAGACTCAAATGGACAATAATAGTTATAATAATTGCCACCTTTTATTTAATGCTTACTGTATGTCAGATACTTTTAGAAGTGTTGGACATGTGTCATCTCATTTAATCTTTGTGTGTGTGTGTGTGTGTGTGTGTGTGTGTGTGTGTGTGTGTAGCTACTCTTATTAATAAGAATAAATGAAAGCACAGAGGTCATCTAGCTAGAAATTTAGAAGAGCTGGATTCAAACATACAATCGATTGTCAGAGCCTATACTATTAACCCTTACACAAATAACCACTAATGTGTTAGTGGTTATTTAAGACTTTATTTCATTTGAAACAAATATTCTGAGTAAACATATGAGAATTCATTTATTGCTTTCATGTATAGTGTGTACAAGGTGAAGAAGCCATCATGGATAATCTTACAACTCTGGATAGAAAAGCCCTCTTACAGCAGGGTTATGCAGACAATACTTACAGGGCACCATGGAGAACAAGAAAATCTGAAGCTGTAAGTTTTCAGTAGTTTTACTTCTTTGAAAAGCTGTTAAGATAATCTGCCCTCCAGCATTTTACAGACTTATAATTGAAAAAATAATTGCAACCACTGAAGTTGGTCTGAAGTGAATATTCATTAATATGCAATTGAGTCCTCATTTTTACAATGACTGATGTTCGGTATATTTACTTTGGAAAAATTGTCTTGAATCTTTGAGAGTTTGTAAAAATTTAGTTTATACTGTTTAAAATGTTAATTGGCTGCTGTTTTTATCAGTGGGTATATTTGACATAGCTCCTCCCTCCACAGTAAGTAGCCTGGTTATTTTCTTGAAAAATCCTAAGTTAACAAAACTATAGAAATTCAGGCCAATTAAAGAAAAGGGCAGGTATAAAGTAATCTTATTTTATTTTTTTTTAAGAAAAGGAAGCAAAACTCTAAACTTTCAATATTAACTTTAAATTATATCTTTTACAAAATCAATTAAATTGTTGATGAGTATAGATAGCTTAGATCGGTTTTGGTACATATAAATAATAATAACATTTCTTTGATGTCGTTGGGTAAGACCACACTGCTTGAAGTTGGAGTCCACTGGCCATACCAGACACTCCCCGGTGACTAATATCTTAGGCACCCCTCTACTGGATTGATGAAGTACCAGTGTATGGGGCTCAAAAATTGGGAAAACTCTGGTTTAGGTAGCCTACATAATAATAAAACAACATGGATTTAGCTAGTTAGGTTATCATTATCTCATTGAAGAGAAAATCAATATATATTTTATTTGGATGTCAGGCATCCATTATCAGGACATTCTCAATTGACAGCAGTGTGTAACCAATCTCTGGACCAGGTGGACTGAATGTTCTCTGGATGTCCCAAGTTGGTAACTTGCTACAGTTCTTTTACTAAAATCACATATACATTGTTTTCCATGCCTATTATTGTTTACATATTTATGTTTATAGAATAAGGAGTATCACCAGGATTATCCTAAAAATCAAAAAGCCCCTTTATAAGGCAAAAGTCCCCCTTAATAAGGCTCATTTTGATAAAGTCCTGAACTTATATTTGAAATGAATGTTACCAATACTTATGGTCCACTGAGTAATAATGATCTTAATATAATTCAAAGTCATCTGGGTGTAGTAGATTTTTTTTCCTTATATTTATTTTGTTAGTGGCAATATATCACATTCACCATCAAGAACATTTTATGTTACTGTGTTAACACTCATTTATCTTGTTTTTTTCCCAAGGAAATGGTTATGGGAGTAAACTTAGAATGCATTTGAAATTAGTACCAATTTATTTTTTAAATGTATGTAGAATTGTTTTAATTTTTAACTACTTAACTGAATAACAGAAGCAGTGAACCTATGTTTTTTATGTTCATCTTTTCTGGTTTGCTTATGATTTTCAGTATTACAAGCTCCTTTGCATCAGTGTGACTTCCACTTCTAATTTGCTTTATGTTTACACAGTCTTCTAAATTAATATGCCTGAGAATGGTTCTAACCTTTCCTACAAAGTATAAGCCATCATAAATGTCAGCGCTCAAGGTGGGGTTTCTGCATGGGATCTCTGATGCTTATCACACCTCTTTTGCTTGCTTATGTGTTTTACATCTGTGTTCTGGCTGATGTAGATCTTTTCTCTTTATAATTTCATGTTTTAGTCAGTGTCCACTTTCTAAATCATTCTTAAGCTAACAAGTATACTTACTTGTAAGTCATATAATTTTTTTGGCTTTTTAATTGCTGTTTTAATTTATTACTAAATAAAAATCATTATACGATGTCAGGAGCTTAGAGAACACAAGATGAAGTTATGTATTCAATGATATGAACTTTATATGGGGCATATTTGGGTGTGTAAACTATGTATCTTGAATTTCTACCAAACAAAGCAACTAAATTCATTTAAAGACTAATATTTCATTAATTGTACCTAACTTTTCCAGGTTTCTTTGAGTTTCTGCTTTTTGTTTCTGTGATATGCTCTTTGTCATTCTTATTTGAATTTTGTGTCAGTTTCAAACAGAGCACTCTCCTAAGGTAACAGACCCCTATCAAGCTATATTACCTTACTTGATTTCAGTGGGGATGACAGGAATTTTCATTCCAAAAATAGAACAAGCTTTATTTTCACTTCTTAATTTTTTATTTACTCTTCAAAAAAGAAACATTTTAGTGATTATAATTGTATGACTATCTCAGTGGAATTGAATCATTACACATCTTCCAATTCAATATGACCTAAAATGTAGTAAAAATACTTTCAGATGGGTTGGAAGAGTGAAAAATAGTGTGAAGACAGTTCAGTCAAACCAGTCACTAAGAAAAGCTGATCAAGTATTATTAATGAAGCATATGCACAAAAAAGATTATTGTAATTTTAATGACAGGAGGCATTTTTGTTTTGATTTCTGATATATGTCTGAATGATTCAAATTCCGTTTCTGCCTCATCTACTGTGAATAGCTGTAGATCAAACTGTGTGCTTGTTGGTATTCATTCTGGAGCAGGCTAAGAATGCCTTTTGCTGTGCATCTCTCAAGGGGAGAAATGTTGTAGTCTCTTCCTCCTTTATTCTGACTCCGTAAAATGCCAAGGCAGCTTGTGGAAATCTGTGATGATTTCTACTGAAATTTAAGTGCATTACTTTTTAGAAAACAAATGGTGCTTTTACATTACATAATTGGAATTTAAATGTAGTAATGATGAATATAGGAAATGTTTATGTTTTAGGGCTCGTGTGTTCACTATTGTATTATTCTGCCTTATGGGCAATGACATACTCTATTTTCTCAGGAAATTGTGACTGCACAGAAGAAGAAACAGACTGTTGAAGAACAAGTGATGATAGACAACTTATCTAGGTGAGAATAACTGGTAATAGAAATCAGTTCAGAAAGTTTTCATTAAATCTCTTTTTTATGCATGACACCCATATCCTTGGTCAGTCAGCAAGCAGCTAATTCAGAGGTTCCCAAACTTTCTCTGTTTACTGCACTCATGGTGTTTTAGTAATTTTCCTAGGTCAATAGGAGTACCTTTTAGTTATATTTATTAAGCATTTTTGTCTAAACAACTTAATAAGTAACTTAGAATAAGTAACTTTAATTTCCCTCAAAAATTAAAACATCCTGCAGTGTCCCTGTGCGTTCCCTGTGGTTCCAGAGCGACTTCGTATACAGTTTGAGAAGTGTGGGACTAATTGTTAAGAATTTTAAAACCTTATATAAAGTTTCATAAATCTTAGAAAACTATATAAAGTTTTAATATTTAATATATAAAGCTTTGCTAAATTGCATGACAAATATAAATACTGTAGGATTTCAGAAGAGGTTAGAATAGTCTAGGAAATCTTCAAGGAAGAAGTAAGACAAGTTTAGCTTTGCCAGAAATACTGTTAGGTGGTAGAGAGAGAAAATGATATGCATGTTTTTCTGTAAATTTTTTGGAATAATTATACTTACAGTCATCAATGTATCCCACTTTATCTTTTCACCCCCACCATGCCCCCACAACTTCTCTTCAGCTAATGGTGATTTTTCAGTTTGTGTTTACTTGATGCATCAGCAGCACTGTCTCCATTGAAATCTTTCTTTTCTTTGAAACACTTTTCATTTTTCCACTTGTCTTCCTGCCCAGCATATTTGCTGGCTCCCCTCCTCCTTTCTACTCCTTAGTCTCTTTTCCTGGTTCCTCTTAATTTCCCCAGTCTTTATAACATCATCCTTGTTCACACTATTATCTTCTGTCTCCTGGATTATTTCAGTCACTTTCTAATTGAACTCATTGTTTCTTTGTTTGCTCCTCATTGGTTAATTTCTCAACCTGGAAGCCAGAGCCAGTCTATTAAAAAGCAAGCCAGCTCAAACCCTCTAGTAATTTCCCATCTCAGAGTAAAAGCTGAAAGACATATGTATTAGTTATATATCACCACAAAACTTTACAATCATTAATTAGAGCTCATGTGTCTTCAGGCCAGCTGTCCAGGCAAGGCTTGGCTGAGTGGTTCTTATTTTTTACTTACTTTGGCAGGTTATATATTAGCAAAAGCAATGATCTCAGTTCTGAGTTTAGGCCTTAAGAAACCTCCTGTGTTTTGCTCTGCCTTTTTGTGCTTCTGCCATCTTTGTGAGAATAACACAGCTTGGTCATGACCCACTGGTCTCAGGAAGAAGATACCTCTACAAATGCAGCAGAGCCACTCAGACTAGATCATCCTAGATGAGCAGATTCCCAGCCAACCTACACTTGCCAGAGTTAGTTCAGTTGAGATCCCTAGAGGCCCAATGATCTGTAATTTGCCAAGGCAAGTCAAATAGTTAAGCTCAAAGCCAAAGGGTGAAGAGTAGACTACACCTATTAATGAGGCCAGGCAGGGATGTGGACCAGGTGTGCTGAAAAATTGGTGCCAATAATAGTCTTCCCAAGCCCTGCATGATCCTGCCCGCCATTAGAACTTGGACACCTTTTCCTATTTATTTCTTTCATCTTCTCTCCTCCAGCCATTCAGCTTTCCTCTCACTCTGAAACATACCAGGCTCACTCCTGAGTCAGGTACTTTGCACTTACTTTCCCCTCTGCTTGGAATGCTTTTCCCCAGAAATCTGTAAGGCTGCTTGCTTACTTTGATTCTTATCTTTATTCAGAAGTTACTAGCACAGTGTCTGTTTGTTTAAAGAATAGTAAGAGGAAGACATGAGGCTCTGAGTTCTTTCAGAAATTTCAATTTATGTTTAGATTGCACTTATGTAAAAAGAGATAGGCAAGCATATTACTTTATTATATTTTTGAATTACTGAATGTTTTCATCTAATACCTCTAAAAATAAAATTCTGACAATAGTGTAAATTTTCATTTATATATGAGCTTTTCCAGCTGCTTATAAATATGTTAATACTAGAGCTATGCATTATCACATATAATTGTCAGGCTTTGTATTTTCCTGTACAGGGCTGTAATCAGTGATCCAGAACAAAATTTAATCATTGAGAAACAAGAAAGTGCTCATATCCTTCCAGATTCAAAGATGGCATCTCTTCGATTTAGGAAAAGAACACTACATGAAACAAAGTAAGGTTTTAATTATATAAAGTGAAGTTGTAGTATATTCTAAATTTATTTTTTTTAATGTACTTTATTTTGAACTGAATGTTTTTGTTGTTTTTTGCTTGTTTTTGTCTTTTTTTAGATAACAGGATGTGGAATTTTTGGAGTTCAGCCCCTAGTTCTGCCAATTTAGGATAATGGGGCATTACCTTGTTCTCTTTGCCCTTCACATTTTCTATTTGTGATTTAGGAATAATAGCCACAACACGAGGAGATAATACATGTAAATATGAATATAATAGTAACTGAAACATTTGTATGTGCACAGTATATATATTGGCTGAATTTCATTGATATACTAAAAATTAGTATTGTTTAAAAGTTATTGTTGTTGTTTTGCACTTAATTTGTAGCTTACAAAAGCGAGGGGCCGGCATGTGCTTCATGGTTTTTTTGTGCAGTCCCCTCGGATCTCTCAACAACTTCACTGGCAGCTGACCTCTAGCCTCACCTCTAACAGATGAAGAAAATCCACCAGTTCCTGCAGCAGTTCTTTTATGTTTTCAGGCTGCTGTAGATTGTACTTACTTAGAATTTTTATCTCGCAGTCTCATTCCTATTTTCTGGAAGCCTTTGTTTCCGTATCTTTAAGCATTTGCAGATACCTTGTATAAATTTCCTACTGCTGCTGTAACAAATTGCCACCAACAAATTAAAACAACATAAATTTAATTTTTTCCAGTTCTGGAGGCCAGAGGTCTAAAATCGGGGTGTTGACAGGGTTACATTCTTTCTGGAGGATTCAGGGGAGGGACCATCTCCTGGCCTTTTGCATCTTCTAAGCCAGCAATGGCTGGTCAAGTCTTTCTGTTATATTACTCTGACACTCCAATGGTCACATAACCATTTGCTTTTTTATGAAGACACTTATGATTGTACTGAACCTACCTGGATAATCCCAGATAACCTCCTTATCTCAAGTCCCTCAGTTTCATAATATATGCCAAGTCCCTTTTATGGTATCACACAGGTGAACATATTTACATGTTCTGAGCTTTAGGGCGTGAACATCTTTGGAGGGCCATCATACAGCTACCACATATTTAAACCTCTCTTTTTTAAAGTAAACTTTCATTGAAATAAAATGTACACTCATGAAGTGTAATGCACACAGTGTAAGTACATAGCATAGGGATTTTCACAAACTAACCAATACTCATGTACCAAGTTTCTAGGTAAAAAAATAGAACATTACCAGTACCCCAGAAGCCCCCTCGGTGCTGCCTCCCAGTTACTACTCACTTTCTTTGCCATGCCAGGTTAACCTCTCTATTATGAACTGCCTGATTATAACCTTATATGAAATCACAAAATTTGAAATCTGTATCTGGCTTCTTAACATTATGTTTGTGAATTTCATCTATGTTGTTACTTGTAGTCACCCTTTATACTCACTGCTGTTTAGTATTGTATAGATACACCACAACGTATTCATTCCCAGATGTCAGTGGACATTTGGCTGTTTATGAGTAGTGCTGCCATGAACTTTTGTGTGTGTCTTTTGGTGAACCTTTGTACTCACTTCTGCTCACTACATACTTAAAAGTGGAATCACTAGACTATTTAGTGTAAATATGTTCAACTTTAAAAAAGACTGCCAAGTAGTTTTCCAAAGTGGTTGTTGCAAATAACACTCCTGCCAGTAGCAGTAAGAATTGCACCATATCTTTGCCAGGGCTTGTTGTTGTCTGTATTTTTCATTTTAGTTCTTATTTTTCATTTAGCTCTCATTTTGTACTGGTGATTTTAATTTACATTTCAGTGGAGACTGATGGTGTTTAGCATTTTTATGTATGTATGTGGCCATCTAGAAATCCTCTTATACCAAATTTCTGTTCAAGTCTGTTGAGTTATCTTTTTCATACTGATTTGTGAAACTTGTATTTTCTAGTTACAAGTCCTCTTTCACTGATATTTGTTAGATATATCATTTCCTACTGTGTGGTCACCTTTTAATTCTCTTGATTATGCTTTTTGATAAACAGGAGTTCCTAATTTTCATACAGACCTATTTATTAATCTTTCCATTTATTGTTAGTGTCCTCTGTATCATCTTTAAGAAATCTCTGCCTACCACAGACTCATTATCCCTCTGACCTTTAATGCCATTTATGTCATATACCAAGTTGTCTACATGCCTGGTTGGTTTCTAGGCTTTTTCTTCAGGCTCTTCTACCTGTTGTGTATACCTACACCAATTTTATCCTGTCTTAATTAGTATTGTTTATATTAAATACCTATGGCTTGTTTATCTTCCACATTATCTTGGCATACTAGGCCCTTTCCTCTTCAATAAAAATTTTAGATTTAGTTAGTCTAGTTCCATGAAAAACTCCCATGATTTTAAAATTATGATTAGAATGATTAAATGTATGGACTTCACCCCTCCTAGTCATTCTTCCCAGAGGAGGAGGAGCGGATTCTGCTCCATGGAGTCAGGAGCAGGAATTGGCACGCAGAATACAGCCCTTCCTCTCTCTCCCTGGGGAGTCAGCCGCCTGTAGAAGTACCCATTCTGCCCTATGCATTAAGTTTTATGGGGTCACTCCCCAGTGGGAATGAGTGGGTTAAGCTATTTAATTCTAGTTTTAAGGACTTAGTTTATTGTTTCTGTGTTCCTGAGCCATAGTTTCCAACAGCTTTATCAATAATAAAATTCATATTTTGGTCTTCCTTTGCCTGATGCCTTTATTTCTATATTGGTTGAGAACTTGAATAGAGAGAAGTATTGGTGCTACTTATTTGATACCTAAAACCCCAACATGGAACTTTCCATTTTATGATTTAAATGCCTATTTACTTATTTTATCTTTCCAAGAAGACTCTAGACTCCTTGAAGCTATTATTTCAACCTTTCACTGTTAAACTGAGCTCCATTCACCTTTGAGAAGCAATATAATGTAATGGTTGTGAGCAAGGTTTTTTTCTGGTTCTGCTGTGCACTACCTGTATGTCCTTAGGCCATTGACTTAACCTCTCTCTGGGACTCTGTAAAATTTATTTGTTAAATGGGGATAATAGTACTTACTTCATAGAGTTATTGCAAGCATTAAATGAACCAGCACACATTAAAGTGATCTTTAACAATGACTAGTGTCTAAGAAGTTCTCAATAAATAGTTGCTGTTATTGCTGCTGTTATTTTCTCAGCATTTACAATAGTTTCAGGCACATAGTGGGCATTCAGTAAACACATTAAATCCATTAATACTAGTGGATTAAACTGAACTGAGATAACTAAGCTTTCACGGCTCCACTCTGTATTCACTAACTCTTATTTGGTGTGCAGGCTTTCGTTTGCTGTATCCTACTTCCCTTTGATAGAGACCATAGCTTTTATAGAGATGTAACTTTTCAAGATCTCAGTGTCCCACCCATTTACTTACTATTTACAGTACTGCAATTTCATTGTACCTGCAGTTTTATGGGAATCTCATAAAATTATTTAGGAAAGGAACTAAAATATGTCACTGACACTTCAGATTTAATATAAAGAAAATTAGTAGTTGAAGAGTGCCAAAGTGTGCGTATTTGGGTCTTGCTTCATATTATTAAGTGGAATTTTTGGACTGGCAGTCTTTGTAAAGTTATAATCTGAAGACTCTAAAGATGAGGTGATTTGAGGTCTCATAGCTAGACTGATACCAAGGCTATTACTAGCATTCTTTCCCACTGTTCTATTTTGCATAAGCAATGCTTCAGCTACCCATAACTGAACACCTGACTAATAATGGCTTAAACAACTCAGGATTTATTTTTCTTATTTAACCAGCTGCCTGCAGGTGAGCAGCTGTTGTGTTTAGTCCAGTGATGTTGTTGTCTGTATTTTTCATTTTAGTTCTTATTTTTCATTTAGCTCTCATTTTGTACTGGTGATTTTAATTTACATTTCAGTGGAGACTGATGGTGTTTAGCAATTTTATGTATGTATGTGGCCATCTAGAAATCCTCTTATACCAAATTTCTGTTCAAGTCTGTTGAGTTATCTTTTTCATACTGATTTGTGAAACTTGTATTTTCTAGTTACAAGTCCTCTTTCACTGATATTTGTTAGATATATCATTTCCTACTGTGTGGTCACCTTTTAATTCTCTTGATTATGCTTTTTGATAAACAGGAGTTCCTAATTTTCATACAGACCTATTTATTAATCTTTCCATTTATTGTTAGTGTCCTCTGTATCATCTTTAAGAAATCTCTGCCTACCACAGACTCATTATCCCTCTGACCTTTAATGCCATTTATGTCATATACCAAGTTGTCTACATGCCTGGTTGGTTTCTAGGCTTTTTCTTCAGGCTCTTCTACCTGTTGTGTATACCTACACCAATTTTATCCTGTCTTAATTAGTATTGTTTATATTAAATACCTATGGCTTGTTTATCTTCCACATTATCTTGGCATACTAGGCCCTTTCCTCTTCAATAAAAATTTTAGATTTAGTTAGTCTAGTTCCATGAAAAACTCCCATGATTTTAAAATTATGATTAGAATGATTAAATGTATGGACTTCACCCCTCCTAGTCATTCTTCCCAGAGGAGGAGGAGCGGATTCTGCTCCATGGAGTCAGGAGCAGGAATTGGCACGCAGAATACAGCCCTTCCTCTCTCTCCCTGGGGAGTCAGCCGCCTGTAGAAGTACCCATTCTGCCCTATGCATTAAGTTTTATGGGGTCACTCCCCAGTGGGAATGAGTGGGTTAAGCTATTTAATTCTAGTTTTAAGGACTTAGTTTATTGTTTCTGTGTTCCTGAGCCATAGTTTCCAACAGCTTTATCAATAATAAAATTCATATTTTGGTCTTCCTTTGCCTGATGCCTTTATTTCTATATTGGTTGAGAACTTGAATAGAGAGAAGTATTGGTGTTACTTATTTGATACCTAAAACCCCAACATGGAACTTTCCATTTTATGATTTAAATGCCTATTTACTTATTTTATCTTTCCAAGAAGACTCTAGACTCCTTGAAGCTATTATTTCAACCTTTCACTGTTAAACTGAGCTCCATTCACCTTTGAGAAGCAATATAATGTAATGGTTATGAGCAAGGTTTTTTCTGGTTCTGCTGTGCACTATCTGTATGTCCTTAGGCCATTGACTTAACCTCTCTCTGGGACTCTGTAAAATTTATTTGTTAAATGGGGATAATAGTACTTACTTCATAGTTATTGCAAGCATTAAATGAACCAGCACACATTAAAGTGATCTTTAACAATGACTAGTGTCTAAGAAGTTCTCAATAAATAGTTGCTGTTATTGCTGCTGTTATTTTCTCAGCATTTACAATAGTTTCAGGCACATAGTGGGCATTCAGTAAACACATTAAATCCATTAATACTAGTGGATTAAACTGAACTGAGATAACTAAGCTTTCACGGCTCCACTCTGTATTCACTAACTCTTATTTGGTGTGCAGGCTTTCGTTTGCTGTATCCTACTTCCCTTTGATAGAGACCATAGCTTTTATAGAGATGTAACTTTTCAAGATCTCAGTGTCCCACCCATTTACTTACTATTTACAGTACTGCAATTTCATTGTACCTGCAGTTTTATGGGAATCTCATAAAATTATTTAGGAAAGGAACTAAAATATGTCACTGACACTTCAGATTTAATATAAAGGAAATTAGTAGTTGAAGAGTGCCAAAGTGTGCGTATTTGGGTCTTGCTTCATATTATTAAGTGGAATTTTTGGACTGGCAGTCTTTGTAAAGTTATAATCTGAAGACTCTAAAGATGAGGTGATTTGAGGTCTCATAGCTAGACTGATACCAAGGCTATTACCAGCATTCTTTCCCACTGTTCTATTTTGCATAAGCAATGCTTCAGCTACCCATAACTGAACACCTGACTAATAATGGCTTAAACAACTCAGGATTTATTTTTCTTATTTAACCAGCTGCCTGCAGGTGAGCAGCTGTTGTGTTTAGTCCAGTGACTCCGTGACGGCACAGCTCTGGGCTGGTTTTCTGGAGATCTCGCTGGTCTCCCGGACACAGACGCCTGCTCACTGCGGCGGCTCCTCTCCCAGCAACACACCCCTGCTCTAGCCACGAACAGCGACTCTCCCATACCACCCTGTCAGGACAAAAGACAGTTTTTCCTGTATGCTTATTGGCAGAACTGGGTCCCTTAGCCACCTTTAATGGAAAGAGGCTAAGAAAGCAAATTGTGGTGGTCGAGGAAGAAGAGGGTCGTCAAAGGAGAAGAGGGCTGGCCTTGCTGTTGGGCAGCACTGCAGCACTGTGGGACGTGTTATCTCTGTTCAACGTTTACCTTCATGGCACTTGATACTCTATGTTCTAACATATATTATGTACTGTATCTCAGGGTTATTTCTTCTGTGTCTGCTACAATTAGCGATCTGAAAGAAAAAGGTTTATAACTTCATCTTTATTCATCCTGTGCATTTTAAAACAATTAACAATTTTTTTTTATATTGTCATCATTTACATCAAATGTAGGTAACTTTAAAATAATTATTGACAAATGTATTTCTTAACAGGATAAGAACCCATTCAACATTAACTGAAAATATGCTTTCTTCTAAAGTACAATTTGATGGTAGGATCATATCAAGGTAATTGTGTTTATATTAAACTTCTTAAACTTGTGATTCAAAGAAGGTATTCCCTCTTCAAATAGAAATAGCAATACTGAGATTAGTTAAATTTATCACATTTAAGTGAAAAATGTTAATTTAGAATGAATTTGTTGATTCATTACAAAAATGATGGAAAGTATGCACCTTTATGAAAAATATTTCAATTAGAAGTTATTTAAAAAGTGAATTTAAGACATCTTTCAAAACTAAACGAAGATGTGAATCTTTTAAAGAGATGTATTACTCTTAGAAAATTGTAAACCAATTAAAAATCAACCTTTGGGTAAGCTGCTTTTTAAAATTTTACTTTAATGGCTTAAATTAACAGTAGATTGTTGATAAATGCAGTGAAGTAATGAGGGTGATTCTTAAATCTGTTATCTCAGTCTTATAAACTTTCAGTAATACATAATGCTGATGTTCTTTGTGCATATTAAAGGTAAAGAAAGTTTTTAAAAATTACCATATTTGTTCAGTGATTTTAAACTTTCTATGACAAAGGTAATTACTATATATCTTTGAGTGGCTTCTTGTAAGCTCAACATTTTTAAAGACCTGCCTTTTATCTTAAAAGACTATGCATAATTAGCAAGATGCATTGTAATATATTCATATCACTGTAAGATAAAGCTTTTTTCTGCATCTACATCTTACTTAAATTGGCACTTGAACAAGCTGTGCCATGTTTTCCCCATGGCTTCCTATAGCCCTTGCTCATTGCCATTGCCATACATTCAAGGGATTTATGCCATCCCTCTCTGACATGCACAATTCTAGTTTATTATTTAATTTGAAAATTTTCCCATTTGAAAGTCTATGACATTAATCTATTTTTCTAGAAATGGACGCGATGCTTGCAGAGAACTGATTGGGTTCTTTTTTATTCATGACCAGTCCCTTACAGTTTATGAATACCGGCAGTTTGGGAAAAACAGGTATGCTGTAAGACATTGTTATAACTTTCAAGATCATTACTTCTGAGAGAAGCTAATAACTTCATATTTTTGTCATTCTACTTCTAGAACAACTGTTCTTCCTTTTATTCAAAAACATGTTTATAGTCATCAGCATGGACGAAGAAAAGGAAAACAATACCAGCTTGGTGATTTTTATATTGTAAGTTATGTGTGTATGTGGGCAAACATTTTAATACCAGATGTTGGATTTTGTTGGGACTCTGTGGGGCTGGAGATGCAGGGTTTCAAGCTGCCAGTATATTTTCTGTCTTCCTTCCTGAGCAGGGGCATTTGTATGAAGGGCTAATGGTTGATATGACCCAGGAGGTTCTGCCTCTCAGGCCCAGATCCTGAGAGTCTAAATCTAAGTATAGCATTCATTTCCTGTAACACTGCCTCTCCCTCCCTACCCTCCCACCCGCAGATAAGCCCAAGAGAGCTTGTCTCTTTGGTCCTTTTAAAGGCTCTGTAAGTCCACCACTGGGTAAGTGGTACCATGAGTAACACCCCCTAATGCAGTCTTATCTCCTGTGGATGCACATTTTTCTCCATACAGAGGGGCATTAGGACTGTGGAGCTATCATATATCTGATAGTTTATCTTCCTTGTGATTTCCCCACCTTGCACAACTCCTGACATATGTTATATCACAAGGATTCCCTAGACTGGGTAGATCACAGGTGATGTTATAATTTGTTTAGTGCTCTTAAATTTTAAATTAATACATTGAAGTTATCTCAAAATTAAAATGCAGCATTACGCACAGTGATCATTCAAGTAACAAACATACTCATAGGCGAAGCATTGGACATCGAACTGTGAGCAAGTTAAATCCACTCCCTGCTTTTGTGGAGTTTACATTCTAATGGGAGACACAGACAGGACTGATTTGGAGAACGGAAGGGAGTTCACTCTGGCTGAACTCTAGTTCAAGGTGGGGGTTGGCAAGAGATGAGTCAGAGTTTATTAAAAGCAGCCTTATGTTAAAGAGTTATCTAAAACATATCAGGGAGTCACTGAAAGATAAGAGGTGGATAGAATGAGGGGAGATGACATTATCAGATTTGTGATTGAGAAAAATATGTCTAGTTACAATGCAAGGAATGGATTGAAGACCAGTACAATGGAACTGATGGAATTGTATTAATCTAGGAAGGAGGTAATGGCAATCTGAATTAGGCAAGTGTCTGTGGCTCTGAAGCTAATTAGAAAAAAAATCATCAGGGGATAGACTCTAAAAAGATGAAGTGACTAGTTAGCTGAGGAGTTGGGAGTAGGGGAAAGCATTACATATTAAACCGTCATTTGATACACAATACGTAAGTCACTTCAGGCTGCCTCTTGAGAACTAGAGAAAATCAGCTCTAGCTCCTGTTTCACAACAGGATGAGATACCTGTAGCTCTGAGCTGCTGTCTCCAATAATGCAGTATAGTTTATGATTTATTCTCACTATCCCTGTTCCTTATTGAACCAGATGTGGAACTCTATTCCCTTTTATGATTTCTGAGAAAGAAAGATAAAGGGTAGGGGGAGAAACAGGAAGGAATGAAAGAAAGGGGGAAGGAGGAAGGTAGGCAGGTAGGCAAGCCACACACAAACCATACATGTGATGCTTGCGTGGCAGACATTTTGAAGAGGATATGGAGAAAGCCTTATATTGCAGCAGTATAAGCAACAGTTTATTATTATCTATTCTTATTCTTAAAAATATGTCCGTTAAACATTTTTAATTATAAAGGCCCTCCTCTCTATTTTCTGGCTCTTTCTACTTCTTGCTTCTCCCCATAATCTTCCATTTCTTTATGCAGAAATATTCAACCTTATCCTTCTTTTTGTGTGTGTGTGTGAGAGAGAGGAGGTGGGTCCCTCTTCTGCTTTCGAGATGTTACTGGAATTTATCTTTTTATTTCTATATGTCCCACTAAGGATATTTCCTAAATACTCCATAAAAGAAATTTTAGTGCCAGTTGTTAAGATATACTCATATAAACGTGCACATGTGCCCATAGACACACATACACGAAAGTGTGCCCATATATCTTCATTCATACGTGCATATATTGATCCAGATGCACTAACAGACTGTGTAGATAAACCCTTATGCACACACATATGTATGTACACACATGCCTATGTGCATATGCCTGCACACATATCATGTAGTGTCTATAATTGCTTAATAAAACAATTTCAAGGGAATTTATATACATTTCAAAGAATGGAGAAATTCTGATACTTATTTACAAGTATGCTAAAGTAAATGCTCTCGGAAAAAAGGAGAGAGGAATCTCTTCCCTTATTTTCAAGAGAGATAATTAAGCCTCTTATTTTAATCCTGCATTTGTCCATATTTGACCATATTTATTTAAGCAACTCAGAAATTAAAATAATAACAATTTTCTAAGTTTGGATTAAGGATTTTTATAGGAATTTTTTCATGCTCTAATTAGTTTAAAATTAGTTTTACATTAATATAGTGTTTGTCAACAAAAGACCAAATGAAAGGGAGTGTGATCAATCTATGAGAGTTCATCAATTTGCAGTACATCATTTTGTGAATCAATAGCTCTATTTCTGTATTCAGGGATGTCACAATTTTGATTGAAATAACATCCTTTCTTCCTCTGATTCTTATTAAAATATTGGGTTTATTTTTTCACATGAATTGTTAAACCTATGATTGTTCTAATTGAGAGGTTGATTGGGAAGTTAGTTCCTTAATTTCCCTGTGTTCTTTACTCAAGCTTGTGTGGTTTCTAAATATTTTCTAAATATACATTTTTAGCAGTATAAAAGTACC